GGGATTATAATCATTGTAATGAAACAAGGTGTATGATTTGTTGAATGTAAAACTGATGCTGTAAATTTTCACTCAATTCACAATAAAAACTAAAAAAAAAAAGTAGTCTTAGAAACGACATGTTGTTGTTGTTAAGTGCCGTCATGTCGGATCCAATTCATAGCGCCTGTATGTACAACAGAATGACGAAACATCACTTTTAGTCCTGTGCCACTCTCAAAACTGCTGCTGCGCTTGAGCCCATTGTTGTTGCCACTGTGCCAATCCATCTAGTTGGGAGTCTCCCTCTTTTTCTCTGTCCCTCCACTTTACCAAGTATGATGTCCTTCTCCAGGGACTAATCCCTCCTGATAATATGTTCTAAGTAAGAGACAAAGTCTGGCTGTCTTGATTTCTAAGGCGCATTCTGATTGTACCTCTTACAACACAGATTTGTTTATTTTTCTAGCAGCCCATGGTACCTTTAACATTTTTCTCCACCATCATATCTCAAATGCATCAAATAAATGCATCTATGGTCACTATCCAACTTTCACATGCATATGTGACTACTGAAAATACCAATGCTTAGTCAGGTGCACTTTAGTCCTCACACTGATATTTTTGCTCTTGAACAGTTCAAAGACGTCTTGTATAGCAAATTTGCCTAATGTGATAAGTCATTTTAATTCCTGACTGCTGCTTTCATGAGTGTTAATGGTAGATCCAAGCAAAGTGAAATCTTTGTCAACTTTAATCTTTTCTCCATTTATCATGATGTTATTTATTGGTCCAGTTGTGAGCATTTTTGTTTTCTTTACATTGAGGTATAATCTACACGAAGGCTGAGGTCTTTGACCTTCATCAGTATTTTAAGTTCTCTTCGCTTTCATCAAGCAAAATTGTATCATCTACATACAAGGTTACTAACAGTTAGAGCTGACTCATTGGCAGTGGGTTTGGTGTCTATTTCAAGAAGACATGGAAAGTTTCTTTGAAAGAGAAACAGTTGAGCTAAGGCTTGAATGACATAAAGATCATGAACATCATTTATAAAGATGTTTATAAATGAGAACTATGAGAAGATCTAGAAAGTAAAAACTGAAGTCATATGGAGTATCAAGTATGGTAGTGGGAAGAGCACCAAGAAAGTGTATTTGACTGTAGGGGAAGTGAGCTAAGAGGAGAACATCAGAAGATACTGTCAGAGAGGAAGGCAGGGGTTGATCGTGGATGGTTTTATAGGCAATGATATTTTCTAATCATTCATGTGTTACTTAGGATTATACTTAAGGAGGCTATGGTAGTTGTATGCCATTGAGTTGATTCCAATTCATACTTGCCCTATATGATAGAGTAGAAACCACTCGGTTTCCTAGGCTGTAACCTTTACAGGAGCAGATCACCAGGTCTAATTTTCTTCAAAGCCCCTGGTAGGTTTGCACCACAGACCTATCATTTGTAACCTAGTGCTCAATCACTGTGCCAGCATGGCACCTTTCCTAAGGGTGCAATTCTAGGCTAGTTGCTTAACTATGTCTTACTGCATAACAGATAACAGAGAAAAGACGTATAGTGTTTACTATGTGTCAGGTATATTACTCATCTAATCCTTACCATGGCATTGTGATGTGCATAGGGACTAAGGTGCGCCTGACCCAGGCCATGGTATTTTCAATAACCTCATATGGATGTGAAAGCTGGACAGTGAATAAGGAA